GTAGAGAGGCTGTGTAGCCCGGTGTGTTTTTTCGCTGATTCAGTTCTGCAGGTTCTCTGCTGGTACACTGGAGACGGGGATCAAGCAGTTTGTCTCACTCGGGATAGATTGTGCTTTTTTGGTTCATAGTTTTTGATTGACATGCGATTTACTCGCGTTTAGAGGGAATTATTGTTACCGGCAATTACCGGATAACGGAAACGTGGGGACAGTTATCTATATAAAATACACAGACAAACTAACTAACTAACTGATTGACTAACATAAACAATTGAAAATTGAAAAAAAAATTAGCTTGCACCGTTAGCTCCAGTAAGGGAAAGCAGCTGACCGGAAGTCACGCACAAAAACACGGAAGTTGATCACTATTTACTTCCGTGTTTGAAAATAAGGTGGATACGGCCTGATGATAGACAGCAGATTGTCAAACTGTCCCTTAGTCGTCCTAAAATACGCCTGGAAACATCCATCATGGAGGAGAAGCTCCTGGACCAACTGGCTGTACTCCCCATTACCCACCCTCTTTTTTAGGGTCTCATGTACCCACACAGATCTCTGTTTCCTTGCACCCGACAGAACATTGTATTGATTGTATGGGAATATTAGGAAGTGATGGGATGGTTGCCTGGCAACAATAAAAAGGCACAGCAGACGAAAACACGTCCTGTGTGATCAGGGCCTAACCCCCAAATTCCACCAGATGCGTGTGTGTTGCGTCTGTGCTCCGGCACGGCAGCGGAGCCGATACGTTTCAATTCTAGTCAATGTGTGTGTTTCCACCGGCTGCGGCTGTGCTGCATTCCGGCTCCGTCACAGCTGCGGCGCTTTGGAGCCCTCCGCAACAGATACGCAGGACTTCTATTTTTGCCGGACGCCTGAGCACAACGCAGCAATTCAGCACAGAGTAGATCGTGTGGGGCAGGAAGTCGTGCACAGAAACAAAATAAAACATCTGGTTAATTTTCAAAATAAAATACACAGTGTTCACGGAGGATCATATTTCCCTGCACTACACCTTAAAAACGAAAAAATGGGCGGAGGCAGGCCTGAAGTCAACAGGTCAGAGGTTTTCAGACATCATTTCACCCAGTAAACACCATGGACGAGGAGATATTAATCATGGAGGTGCACAGAGATGTCTTCCTCTGGTTTTGTGGTTCTGTTTATAGAAACTACATGTTGTTATATCGCGTGATTAGGCGTGAATTCAGGACATCTCGTGGGTCCTCGTGAGCTGCACTGCTCCGCACAGCAAACGCAGCCGGTGGGTGTTGACGGACGGCGGAGCACGCAGCAGATAACCAGCGCAGCTGTTCAGCAACGGACACACATCCAATGGAATTCCGGCATAAGGCACCATTTGGCATCACTATGACCCACACTGGGTTCTAGGGGTCCCATCTGCAACAACAGTTGGCACTCACAGTAACTGATGTAATTTAAAGCAGTGGTTCCCAACTGGTGTGGGTCGTGGGCCCATTCTGAATGGACCGCAAGTGAGTTTTCAATTCCAGCACAAAGCTTTTATTTTGAAGTGCTGTTTCCTGCTGTAGAGTAAGTGACTAACAGTTACTTGTCAGAGACACCAACCTAGCTCGATGACATGTCCAAAAGTATGGCACTGAATGTATTAAACTGTGTGGACCTTGAACTAATGACTAAGGAGAAATCTGGACCCTGAGGCTGGACCAGTTTGGAACGACTGACTTAAAGAGAGTGACAGTCTGTGTAGAGTAAGAGAGAGGGGTGGCGGATGGGTCAATCATACAGAGACTTTCACCCAGGAGACCGCTGTTTGTATCCCAGGTGAAATCAAAAGTCAGTGCTGTTTTAACGACACACTTGCATGAAACATTACGTACTTTGCTGAACCCCAACTTGTATTGTCTAAACTTAAAGTAGTTTTGTTGCCTAAACTAACTAGCCGCTACATTTGATAACTTTAACCTTGTGTTAAAATGAGCTTCACCCAGCTGTACGTCACATACAGATGCCAAAGGGTGTGTTTAAAAGAGCAAATAATGAATTAATATTCACTGAAAATTCCCTGTTGGAAAATATATATGTAAACCTGACACAGTTAACTAAATCCTAACCAAAGTAGGAGAACTTTGTTCCTATTTTTTCTTTAATTGGTATTAAATCACAGCTTTTTCCTCCTGCAAACTCCCTGTACAACTATTAGATAATTAGGAAACAATTAAATAAAGTGTTTGTCATGGTACAACCCCTCACACAACTCAGAGGTCTTTATATAGTATAAAGGTGTTTCTTCCACTTCACACAATGCTGCCTGTCGGCAGGTGTTTAAATACGTGGGGGGATGTTTATCAGTGAACAGCAAAGAAAACATGTTGTTTACTTGCAACCAGCATGTGTGTGTCAGCATGAGAGAGTGAGGTGGTGTACGTGTGCCCCTTACCTGCACACTTCTTACAGATGACCACACCCAGATTGACAGACGCCCATTCCGGCTGCGGGGCGCGACAGTCGGCGCAGCTCCTGTTGGCCTCGTTGAACCAGATCTTCTCTGCCACTTCATAGTCGGAGAGTGTCTCAGCGATCGATTCCTGGACCGCTTCAATCCACTCCTCCTTCTCCCGTTCTGACTCGGCCGTGAAGCTGCAACAATTGATTTTTTGGCCCCCCACCCCAACACATGCCTCACTGTTATTGATTTGATTTGAGAGAGCAATTAAACAGCATAGTATCGCTTGGCAGGGTTACGGGGGTGTGCGGTATTTGGAGTAGTTTTGGGGGGGCTGCTGAGTGTGTATGTCTATGTGTGATTGCAATAGATTTGGTGAAATTGATAGGGGGAGTGGGACGAGGGGGCGACGGGGCAGGTAAATCAATCTGTCTCACCTTGCACCACTAAAATCTATGAAGTGCTAATGCAGGACAGTTTTTCAGGATATTATTTCTATATTAGACTCAGGAAAAGTTGAGAAATGGTGATGGGAGACGACTATAAACCAAACACATTTACAGCTTCAATATACATTTAAAAAAAGTCATGTTTAACAGTCTTGTTCGATCAGGAATTGAATCAAGAGCTCTGTCAGTCTGAAAGTTGAGAAAATGCTGATGGCAGGGGTGCAGCTACAGACTTAAAGCTGGGGTAAGAAGAAAACTGTGCCTCTCCCCTCTCTGTCCTAAGCCCCTCCCTCCAGATGACCACAGGCATATGCATACTTTCATATAGTAACCTAGTGTTTCCCATACACTGACTTATCTAATCTTATTTCATTGTACAGTTGCACACAGCTCATTCACTCAGTCTCTCTTTAGCCCGCCGTCTCTCTTTATCAGACCAAAAATGAGAGAAGAATTAGCAAGCTAACCACCTCACAGTCCCTCCACCTCGCTCCCCGCCACTGAGGACTGCTTTGCCAGGAAGAGAGTGGGCAGCAGGAGGAGACGAAACCTTTGGTCGGTGGCTACAGCAGCTTCAATTCATTCAAGCGCCAGATGTCACAGCAGTACCATTTCTAATCTGTGTAACAGCAGCAACAGAAAGTTTGCTAATCTGGCCAGGGAGTCAAGGCTGTCTAGTCCCCTGGAGCTAGGACTTGCGCTGGTTGGATTCAGGTGGCTGTGGTTGCTGACTGGGGGCTGTCTCCAGAGCTGCTGCCCACTCTCCTCCTGGCGAGGTGGTCTGTAGCGGCGGGGAGTGAGGTGGAGGACACTGTGATTCTAGGCTCTAGCTAACGTTAGCTGTGAGCCTTTAGCACCATTGAGCAGAATGCTAAAGCATTATAATCGACGGTGTCAAAAGCTGCACTGAGGTCCAGGAGTACAAGGACTGAACACATGCCCTCATCAGCAGCCACTGAAAGGTCGTCGCTGCGATACTTACGGAAGCCAGAGATTTTGGATATAAAAGGTAACTTGGATATAGGTCTAAAATTTTGAGGGAGAGAGGGATCCAGACCAGGTTTTTTAGCAGAGGGTTCACACATGCAGTTTTAAAATAATCAGAGACACAACCAGTTAAACTGCGAAAAAGAGAGAGCAAGCAAGGCTTAACAGAGTCCAATACTTAGTATTGCTGTCAGGGCCCCGAGGCTCTGGAACAGTCTGTCCAAGGAAATCAAGTTGGCTGAGACAGAGACCTGTTTCAGTGCCTTCTTAAAACATACTTTTATCGGAGAGTCTTTCCTGATTTTACTCGTCTTATATTTCGTCAGTTTTTATACACAAAAGTATTTTTATCAGTTTTTTTAAAAGTTGTTTTCATGTCTTGTCTGTTTTAATTATTGACACGTGAAGCACTTTGTAACTCTGTTTTGAAAAGGGCTTTATACATAAAGATTAGTATTACAGTATTATTAAGTATGAGAAACATTTTCCCTCCACGTCTGAAATGCCTCACCAATACTGACACACATTTTATTTTGCTTTTGTCAGACCCTCTTTTGGACACTCTTTTTGAGTCCATCTTCCTTTTCTGGGTTGCTTAGCAGTGTAGGCAGTTGTTGCCAAAGCTGGAATAGCAACTTTCTCTGCAGGATTCTTCGCCATTGAATCAGGCATTCACCGAAGGTACTTGAACATGCATCTCCATTTTCAGAACAGCCTAAAGGAACGCCCTCTCTCTGAAGTGACCTGTGATTGACCAGAGTCTACCGTCACGGCCTAAATTTTTAAAGCTTAAAAACAGAAGTCTTGTATTCTCTCAGTCCACTTAAATAACAGTATGCTCTGAGTGTATTATGGGATTTTTGCCCAAATGACTGACTGAATGAATGAAATTAAACTTCCTTTAACTGTAGTCATGACACAATGCACTGTGTCTTGAGTGAGCTGGAGGATGGACAGTTCAATGAGAGGGTGGTGTCTCTCTCAATTCTCTGCACGAGGGTGCATCCTTACATTTAACGATTTTTTCTTTCTTCTAGCTGCTCTGCTGTCACAGCAATATTTTCCCTGTCTTCAGTCTTTGTTATGCACGTGTCCATGTAGAAGCCAATGAGGAACCTAGTGATGCGTTTACTATACTTAAGTCAGTCATCGACTTTCTCCAGGACAAATCGAGCTGTGGAAACCCTAAATCACCCTCAAATCCTCCACCCAAGAACAAAGATTTTGCAAGAAGACGACTGTAACTCGAAACACATGTAAACACACCGGATGAAATCAACCCTGTAGCCAAGGGGGAACAATTACATAGAGCATATATCAGGATATTTTGCGTGACGCCTAGTGTCAATATTTTTATTACAACTTTATTGCAACTTTTAACGTTTTGTGATATGCTGTACATAAATTTCTTTTTTTTTTTTGAACTGCAAATGATGTCCTCAAAGGCCCCCACAGCACTCAGGTGAGGTCAGGGCTTAATAAAAAGGCACCAACCAGGTGTCAGATCATAAGGAGCAGGCATCCAAGACATACAGCACCAAAAAATGTGAGGCAAAACGCCAAACAAGAATAAATTTGGGGTCGGCTTTTTAGCTATATATGTATATACACACACACACACACACACACACATATATCTATATATCTATATATATATATATATATATCTCACATTTTTCACATCACTATATCACCATTTAGACTAATCTGTTTGTAAAGTCTATAAACACAATGATTGAACAAACGTTACTATTTCTGTGTGCACGTTTTGTAATTAATAACATGGTTATCGTAGATTAGCTGGGCTAACCGTTAGCTGTCAGCCGTTAGCGGTGTCTGTAGTAACTCAGTAACTCAATAAACAGTCCGTGAAAAAAATATTTTTTCCAGCGGATGTCTTAGTTACAACATGATTGAGCTAACTGGAGTAGTTTCATGTCGTATCTGACAACGGGAGGCTTTTAACAGATGACGTCCTGATGTTAGCTTTGCTGCTGCTGTTAGCTGTCCCTGTCAGCTGCAGCCACTGCTGCTTTCTAGACATTGTGATTTCCCAAAACTGAATAAATACCACACATAGCAACACAAAACTGCTTTGCTAGCTCAATCATGTTGTAACTAAAATATCCGCTGGAAAAATATTTCTTTCACAGACCGTTTATTGAGTTACTGAGTTATTACAGACACCGCTAATGGCTAACAGCTAACAGCTAACGGTTAGCCCAGCTAATCTACGATAACCATGTTATTAATTACAAAACGTGCACACAGAAATAGTAACGTTTGTTCAATCATTGTGTTTATAGACTTTACAAACA